CCTATAAATAAAAATGTTAAACTGGGTCTGGAAAAGGATAAATTTTCTTAATGAAAGTTTATATTTTGATATAAGGCTGCTGCTCATATTAAGAAGACAAACTGCTTTACGTGCTAAAAAGCTTGTAAAAGTTGGATACATTTGATGTAAAGTTATGTTAAACACCTTCAATGAAATGCTTTAAACTGCATTTTTCATATCTGTTAGATACTAAATCATGTAAAAATGCATAATTCTGAAAATCGAAGCCAAATAATGGCTCTATCATGACATATATAAGTTATCGAGATATGGGACTTAGGTCTTAAAGGCAGCTGACTATTTTATTCAAAATGTATTTATGCAATTTAAACTGAATATCGACTATAAAGCGGCACCAAGCTATAGTTCTTCAGTAGGAAATGAACTCGGGGCATATAGTATACAAACTGTCCTTTGATATTTCATTATTATTTATCGTTATTTTACTTACATTATGCTATGCGTATTTCTTAAGACGAACAGAACTAGTTAATCCATTCAACTGTTAGTTTCATCATTTCCTCGATATGAACTACCCCTAAATTTATAAAATCATGTCTGTCCAATTTGCAGACAATAGCAGGCGTTATGTTTTCTCTAATAAATTTTTCAATCGAATTGCCTAAATTACATGACCTCAATAACTGTTTCATTTTGTTTGCGGGGCATTATCAATTATGACTGGATTCGGCAATTTCCGATAAAAAAAATTTACCGAATCTGATCCACAACTGCATATAATGTTGTCACGACTGCATATAATGTTATGACCACTGCATATAAGTTGTAAGCACTGCATATAATGTTGTGACCACTGCATATAATGCTGTGACCACTGCATATAATGATGATCATCAAAATAAGGCAGTCATGGCGTTTCATAAAAAGAACTGGTAGTGAACGCTTGTGTTGTTGAGACGAAGAAATGGTACATTCAGTCCGAGGCGATCTGATGATATCTTACAGGAGTTATTGCCCCTGAAATGTTGAAATTTAAGGTAAATTGATTTTTACTTCATTCTGGTATATGATAAATCCGTAGGTTTTTTTGCAAAGGGTTGAGTTAGACATGACCTAGGAAAATATTAACCGGAAGTAACCGTTGATTATTGGAATCAGTGTAAATAAAGCTATCATTATTATGAAGCCGGAAGCGACATTTTCTAAACAGGAAGGAGTAAATTATCTCCCTTAATTCAGACAAACGTATATAGAAACCATATATGTTTTGCATCAGTATGAAGAATCTTATGATTAGACGCCAATAGTAACTTTAAGTTATCCGGAAGTAGCTGCTTATCAACTATTTAGAAATGTAATGTGGAAATACTTTCGAACAATTGGGTTTTTAACTATTATTTATCATTCTTGTCACTAAGATAAAACCTTGCAGTTGCAGAATAACGGTGCGGTGAACACCTTCCATTTTGGATTCAGATAAAGCCGAAAAAACTTATTGTTTTAGTTCATAAGTTAAAAGGTCGCCTTCATAATTTAATCATTTCCAGCACTAACTATTATTCAGTTCAGTTTTCAGGACATTTTCAAAGTACAGTACAAAATAAATGTACTACCTCACAAATTAAAAGCTGCACATTTTTCTGCTTTACTTTTTAATCTAATTTGTTTTTAAATTGTATTTTCGTGGATATTTAATTTCGTGGTTTAGCCAATGTCTACAAAGAAGCCTATAGAAAATATGTACTTCGTTGAGGATTTATCCACGAAGTCCACAAAAATTGGTATCCCACGAATAATAATGAATCCAAAGTATACAAATAATTTGAAATAAAAGAGGGACGAAAGATACCAGAGGGGCAGTCAAACTCATAGATCGAAAACAAACTGACAACGTCATGGCCAAAAATAAAAAGACAAACAGACAAATAATAGTACAAATAAGATAACATGAAAATGAAAACGACTTGCAATGATGTATAGCAGATAGAGTCTTATTGACTCTTTCAACTGTGCTTCCTTCGACATTCATTAGTTGGTTTTATTAAATTGTTTTGATAGACGATTACATTAGTGTCCAACAATTACTTAGTGAACTTCTTAAATGTTTCGAAAATCGTGAATAGACTGATGACCACGCGGGAAGCTGTTGATGTATTTTTTTTTCTGTTATTTTGTCTCCAGAACATGGAGATATTTATCATATCCATATATATCACAATGTTTTATCTTGATATATTACAGAGATAGCAGTGGTAAAAGTCCAAATTTCATAGTTAATAATCCAGTGGAAAACAATATTTCTATTCTTGGTGTGTAATGTATAATTTCTTTTTTTCTTTTTGTATCAATAGTTCATCGATATACACAAACCTTGACCTACTTCTACATTTATCGACGATTCTATCATACTAAGCTTTCTATTTTCAGTATAAAATAAGGAGATGTAGTATGATTGCCAATGAGACAACTATCTACCCAAGTTCAAAATTAGTGATTGTAAGTAATTACAGGCAACCGTGCGGCCTTCAGCAATGAGGAAAACTCATACCATATAGTCGGCTATAAAATGCCCCGACATGAAATAAAGGCAATAGTAGTATACCGCTGTTCAAAAGTCATAAATCGATTGAGAGAAAACAAATCCGGATTACAAACTAAACCCGAGGGAGACACATCAACTATAAGAGGAAAACAACGGAACAACAAAAACACTGAAGTGCAACAAAAAAAAAAAACGCCAACATATATAGACACGGACTATTTGATAACAACTGCCATATTTCTGACTTAGTTCAGGACATTTTAATAAAAAAATGTAGGATTGAACATATGGTATTATGGCTAGCCAAACCTCCCGCTTATATGGCAATGTTAAAAAATATCGCTAAAATGACAACACTACGTGACAGGAATACAGTACAAACAAACACAAGAAAACTCAGCACAGAGAAACGCATAAATAAATAATATAATAGTACAATTTAGTAACATGTAAACCGAAGAATAACAACGAACATCTTCCATTAACGACAGCACAGGACTCCACAAACAGTGACGTATTTTTGTGACGTATATATAATCTTGAAACTCATACAATTAAATGGAACGAGATCGAAAAAATAACAATTACTATCACAATACTAGTCCAAATAATTATCATGATTATGACGGTATTGAAAGGCTATTTTAAATTAATGCTGTGACGACATCATAAATATTTGGACTAACACAATACTTTATTCATGGAAAAGTGGAAATGAACTCGACTATACTGACAAATAAGACATATGTGAAATGTACCGAAAATACAGAATTCAAACCACAAACGATAAGACATAACACAATATCCAACCTAACCCACAATAGAAACATCATTACTAAATACATGAATGTTGGATGTATTAATACCGAGACACGTAGTATAGAAATGCAAATTCACACTCGGCAAAACAATCGTATTCGGGAATAGGTTATGTTCGGTATTTAGCAGACAGACAACATATAAGTTAAACCACAATCTAAGACGTGGGAACAAATGTCGTTAGTTAGTTTAGACACAGAAACATCGTATAGATCAACCAATTCGTGATGGTGTCAATACAATTTACGGAGTGTCATTATTAATCTTTCCTCCTCATAACTCTGTTGGAGCAGTTTCTGCGTAAGGAGCACACTCCTGTATACTAAGTTCGTATAGTGTGAACATGCACGAGCATAACGTATCAATTGAGATATGTAAACACCATAAAACGGAGCAGAGGGTATGTTACTGCTGAGAAATGGGAAATTGATAATTGGGAAGCTGAAATCATCCCGTTTATCATAGATTTTAGGGTGAAGTCGTTCATCTGTGTCAATATTGAGTAAAAGATCAAGGTATGAAGCAGTCCTTCTAGAATCAGTAGTACCCTTAATTTCAAGTTCACTGGGATATATGAGATGCAAGTACTGACTGAAATATGGGTTATTCAATGATAGGACATCAAAAATATGAAACAATTCAATTCAGAAAACAAACGGCCTAATTTATAACAAAACAATTTACGAAAAACAAATATGACAGACATGAACCAACGACAACCACTGACCTACAGGCTCCTGACTTGAGACAGGCACATAAAGAATGTGGCGGGGTTAGATATGTTTGTGAGCGCTCAACCCTCCCCTAACCTGGGACAGTGGTGTTACAACAGCATCCAACATATAATGGATTTAGTGTAAGACGTCATTAACAGTCAGAGAAAAACATGACCGAAGTGACGGTTTGCAATTGTTACTTAAACATCAATTTAGTTTTGTTTTGTTTAAAAGAAATTGATAAAGATATAGAAACAAGTTGTGCAAGACGAGTTTAATAGTATTATCGCCTCACTTTATAAGAGTCAAAGTCAACGCGATACGCATAAAAGACCAGCATTAAAATAACCTTTTTTCAAGTTTCTTGAAACTTTTACAGTACGTCTTACAGATATCTCGTCAGCAAATTTTTTTAATTTGTTACAAATGATTTTGTTTTAAATGTTTTTTTTTTTTGTATTTTGTAGCCCATTGGAACAAACGTGCAGCAACCATTGTAACAGTATTTATACTTTTCATATCTGGTATGTAATAAATCTCTTGTGAAGATATTATCAAAATCTGACCTCAGTAGTTGTTATTTGATAGTCTTTTTAACGTAGAATAATATATATCTCGATTGTTTGTCAATCAAAGTCAACTATACTAATTAGCAATCGCTCAAGGTAAAACATTTAGCACAAAAAGCAAACCCGTGGTAAAATCAATATAAATTCAATCTCCCAGGAATTATTTTTTGAAGAGTAACTATTAACTAGATATAACTGACTCTATTTTAAAAGAGTAAAATCCATTTTATTCCTTTTTATAATCTTTTTCAATGTTTACTATAAATGAATGCAAATTTCATAAAGAAACACACAATTTTTACAATATTCCATGTTTTTATTCTTAAAATTGATAAAACTTAAATTTAATGTTCGGGAAAATTCCCAAAATATATGAAAGTTTTAAAATATTAGTGGTAAATATGTATGTGACACTTGTTATTCGGGAAATGTCCCGAAATCATTTTCAACATTATTATTTATAACATATTAAAAATTTGTTGGCAAAGCGTTTTGACAAACAGATCTGAAACACATTTCGGGAAAAATCCCGACAAAAATAAACTAAGTACAAAATGTATAACACAGATGTCTTCAAATATTTGGGGATTTATCCCGAAAATCTATGTAAATGCTAGAACTCATGACTAATAATTTCTTTCACATTTCGGGAAAAATCCCGAAAATATAAATCTATTATCAGGCACACACTTGGTGCATAGTTTTTTTTTACCCATTTCAGGAAAAATCCCGAAATAAAATCTACAAGCAAAAATTATGCTACAGATTTCTTAAACATATTGGGAAAAATCCTGAAAAACAAAATCTTTAAGATTTTACAACACAGAATTTTGATACATTTAGAAGGTTTTTATGTAAACATGAAATATAATGTTTGCTCTCTATTGCATCTCTTTTGCAACATGCTATATTTGACTAAGTGCATATAACAGGTTAAACATAGAAAATAAAATTCCATTAAAAAAACTTGTTTTAAAAATTATTTCTTAATTAAAAAGACTAAGATTGATGATAGGTATGGTATTTAATAATGCATATATATGCAATTACTACGCGGCACGCGCTAGTTAACTAATAAACTCACATATAGAAATACAATCACGACAATGTTTTAAAAATAGTGGTTGCATTAAAAGGAGCTAAAAGGTACCAACAAGATTTGCAGGATGTATACATGCCTATACAAATAAGATGATATTGCATTATTACATTTATACCAAAAAGACACAATAATTTGAAAGATATCAGGAAGTATGCAGTCCTTTAAACTATGTTTGGCATTCTTTTCCTCTTGTTTATCTTCATATCTGTGTCTTTTAAGACTCGAGTCAATTTGTCCTCCAAGATTTCTATGTATCCTACAAAGAAAAGTCAATTCAAGTTCAATATTTTAAAGTCCTTCAGGCATATTATTCATGATTTTTTTTCCCGGCATATTTTGTTCTTTCTTATAATCATGATAATAGATGAATTTGTTATCACAGGTCCTTTCATAGCTTACTCATGTTACTGTTTGTCATTTGTTTTGTTCAATAATTGAAGCCTTACCACACTGATAGTATTTAAATTTTGTTCAGATTAGGGCAGTTGTCTCCTTAGCTATCATACTGCATCATTTTTTCTAATCTGGTGTTTTCATTTTTTGATATATATATATATATATATATATATATGTGTGTTACTTTACCGATTATTACCTACAAACAAATGGGGCAAACTGGAAAAGTTTTAAAAAATAAAACATTTTTTTTTTTTACTTTTAGCGTTATCATTAGGATTAGCAATCATACTATAGATATCTTCTTCTTTTAAAGGGGGGCAAAGTTCTAATCCTATTAATTTAATTATGTTACTTTACCAATAATTGTCTGAAAACAAACAAGGCAAATTTAAATGGTTTTAAGAAAAATTTGTAAGGGTTCCAAAGAACACGGTGTCTCGCCTGTGATTGCTGCTGTCACTGTAAAATTGACTTTCAAAGTGAGCGCATTTTTACTTGAAAAGACTCAACATAATCTAGACTGTACTTAACTGTACTTGACTTTGGTCTACAATTTAACCTAATGAGTCGAAGAGTACTTGATAATCTTGGTAAAGTCAGAATATGGTCTTGTCAAATGCTCAACCAGTCCTGACCAGTCTCTACTTAGTCTTGACCCAGTCTCCACCTGTCTTGACCTTTAAATTTAGTCTTGACTGGTCTTAAATCAGCCCAACTATATCAATTATGTATTGAACAGGTTATTTTATAATATATGGTTTATTGCTTTCAAACTTAAGGGTTTAATTTTAATAGGTATAAACATGATAAAAGCTACAATTTTTAGTTTGAACTAAATTTCAGGTAGTCATCTTTAAAAATTTCTATAACTATTTCAAATCAACTTGGATTTAAAAAAAATATCTAATTTAAAAGCTCACAATCATCATTTTTGCTTTTTAAAGTTTCTATTTTCCAAAAAAAAAAAAAACAAACAAACCCATCACTGACAGTCAATAACTCAACTGATGACTTTGGCCATGTGACTTATATGTAGATCTTATGGTGTTAATCATTTTTACTATTCAAAGTTTCCATCTCTTTACTATAGTTTTCAATAGGGCTAACAACAAAAAAGATGTGTTTTGATTCCCTTCCAACCCTAATTTATCGGCTCCGACACAAAAAAAGTCAAAAATCGATGTTTAACAAAAAATTAAATGGGGAATGTGTCCATGGACCACAGATGATGCCCCCGCTTGCATATCATATAAAGTTATAAAGGGACATAACTGAAGAACAGTAAAAGTGACTTTATCTAAAAACACTTGATCGGAGTTTAGTGGTAATAGGTATTGTGTATAAGTTCCATAAAATTTGGTTGATGCAAACTTAATTTAGAGAACGGAAACAAAAAAATCAGCAATTTTTCCATTTGCAAAGGGGCATAACTCTAGAAAATTTAGTGACAACTACAAAATTCAAACTTGATCTGTAGTTTGTGGTAATAAGTATTGTGTACAACTTTCATAGCATTTGGTTGAGGCAAACTAAAGTTAGTGAATGGAAATGAAAAATTCAGCACTGTTTCAATTTGTGAAGGGGCATAATTCTAGAACAGTTAAAGTGACCCCCTAAAATTCAAACTTGATCTATATTTTGTGATTTATAAAAAGCATTGTGCATAAGTGTCATTGCATTTTGTTGAGGCAAACTAAAGTTAGAGAACGGAAACTATAAATATAAGCATCTTTTTCATTTGTAAAGGGGCATACCTGCAGAACAATTAAAGTGATGCCCCCTTAATTCATACTTGATCTGTATTTTGTGGTAATACGCATTGTGTATAAGTTTCATAGCATTTGGTTGAGGCAAACTAAAGTTAAAGAACGGAAACGAAAAATTCAGCAATTTTTTTGTTTGTAAAGGGGCATAACTCTAGAACGGTTAAACTAAATGACGCCACCAAAATTCAAACTTGATCTGTGTTTTGTGGTAATAATAAAGCATTGTGTATCAGTTTCATATCATTTGGGTGCGGCAAACTGAAGTTAGAGAACGGAAACCAACTTTGGGAAGTATGGAAGGACTTACGTCCAGACAGACAAGGGTAAAACTACTGTGGGGGCATAACAAAGGTCTTCCTTATCATGTCCCTAATTTGCACTATTTGTGCACATGAATGCCAATAAACAACTGGCCAGCTAATGTGTGCTGCCAGTACGCTTGATTATACAAATGCAACATTCAAATGTCATATAAAAAAGAAGATGTGGTATAATTGCCAATGTGACAACTCTCCACAAGAGCCCAAATGACACAGAAATTAACAACTATGCCTGCTATACTTATGATTGAAAATATGACGCTTTTACTACAATTATCACTTAAACTTGATCCATAAATATCCATGAAAATAAAGGCATGGTCAGTTTAACCCGTCAGGCAAATACAGCTTATAATCATTTCATACACAAATATAGTGGCCTTATTGCTACATATGTGTCTGAGAGACAGAGTATTTTATTTGTGAAACAGCACATTTTGTTAGACATAACATATTTTTGTACACTTACAAACTTTCAAACTTACCTTTCAAATCTTCCCATATTTAGACTAAGAAAGACCTTGAACTTCACAGAGAATTAAATCAGAGACCTTTCTCTTCCTATTTGTCTAGGCTAACTGCATGTCCTATGGATATGTCAATCTGAAATAAGAACAGAATGGCATAAGACTTCATGCTGAAAATGTTTATCATCCTTAGCTTTTTTTTTACACATGAACTGTTCGAAGGCACATTAATTAAAAATGGTGATTTGCACTAATGCAGGGTGGATATTAGATTAATTTCTATGAAATTTGTCTATGAAATCAGACCAGAGATATGATTTTCACCTAAATAGGTGGATATTGGATCAATTTCTATGAAATTATGTCTTTACTAAGAAAAAGAACAAAGTTGAAAATAGATATATATAATATACCATTCATTACAAATTATCATTCGAATGCTTAACATGCTTAAGCAGAAAACTTCAAAAAGTATTCAGGAAATACTGGCATCTTATTAAAACAGATTCTACAATAGGTGACAAATTCCATAAAAACCTATTAGCGAAACAGCTATAAAATAATTTATATGAACCTAATAGTTCCCTCTAATGTTTAACTGTGCAGAACTAATTAATGACATTAATGTAAACAACACATGTAAACTGGTATTCTTATGAAGACACTTCCTTACTATGAAAAACTTAATTCAACCATGGAAGTGAATGAAATATAATACTTCCATGATCATTAAAACAATTTAAAAACCAAAAAACCAAAAAAAAATTTTGGTAAAATATTCTTTCAAGGGCAATAACTGCTTTAAAGGATCAATTGTCAATTAAAATAAGGAAATAATGCAAGTCCTATTCCCAGATCGTGCTGAGGTTCTAAGTTTTGTAATTCATGTATGAATTCTGTCTTTCTCGGTTTTTCTCTTGGTTATCCAAGTTTTTAATTTTGTACATTATTTGGCCTTTTAAACTTTTGTTATTCGGAAGTTAATTATGAGTCTTTTGCAGACGAACTCTTGTCTGACCTAAAAACAATTATTAGGTTATTTGTCATTTATGTGTTTATGGCTTGATTTATTAAGGTCTAGATAGGGGTTCTGTATATCTTTATCCTTTAATACATGTATATCATTGTATATTGGATTGTTTTTCTTTAATCTTTTGTTAATTTTTTTTAATCTCTATTCTTTATATTTCAGCACCCTATTATTCTCTAATATTTATTTTGGTTTCCTACTTTTCCCTATTTATTTTTTTTTTTTACCTTTATTCTGCACATTTTGCCCGTTATTCTCTATTTTGTAAACCCCATCTAAAATCTCATCCATGTCAATTTTTTTTTTCAAGTGGCATACTCATTATTCTTGTATGCAAAATTCTTGAATTTTAAATTGTAGGCAATTATCAACTCGTGAAATTCAGAAACTAATTCTTAATACTTTTTTTTGCATTTAAATCAACAACAATAATGTGTCCATAGTACACAGATGACCCACTGGTACTATCATTTTTATATTTTCAGTGAACCATGAAATTGGGGTCAAAACTCTAATTTGGCATTAAAATAAGAAAGATCATATCATAGGGAACATGTACTAAGTTTCAAGTTGATTGGACTTCAACTTCATCAAAAACTTAAACTTGAAGCCGGAAAGACGGATGGAGGAACAGACGCATACTCATGACTCATCAGAAAGCATAATGCCCAAAGGTGGGACATAAAACATCTATAGGCAAATATCCTTAGGTGACAGATTATTAAATTTATCACTAATGCATACATCAATATAAAAAGTTTTAATTGATATATTAGAATTTTTTTTAAATTATAAAACATCCTTAATTTCTGTATGTCTGTGGTATGCAGTGGCAGATCCAGAATTTTCAAAAGGGGCCCGCTCAAACTTGCTTCAGTGATTCGATCCCTAAAAAAATTAATCAACCAAATTTTTTTCAAAAAGGGGTGCCCGGGCCGGGTACTGCTATTTTGCATGTTGCATGTAGATAAAGTTAATTTTATTGTACATTAGGGAAGTCTTTTCTTTCTTTTTTGTTTTTTGTTGTTTGATTGCTATTTCTATGATGTCATTCACAATTATATAACAATACCTTCATTACATGATAGATGAATGGTGGTTTGATTTTTTTTCTGTCATGAGAACAAATTTATGTATTTTATATATGTTTTTACCAGTGTCTGTAAATTTAACTTTTTTTTATGTCAAAGTAACAGAATCTGAAAAATGAAGGCTAAACATTTTTAATATTCATTTGTTAAATTTACATGAGGTTTAATGTTATAACTGAATATACATGAGTCATATTTATTCTGTACTATATTATGCTTGGTAATAAATGGACCAAACATGAAACTATATGATGACATACATATATATGTATATATATATAGTGTATCCTTAAATTCATTTGAAATTTTTAATTAACCTATCAACAAAAGTCATCAAAACTTGGATTCTAGAGACTGATCTATAGTAGTATTAGTTAGATGATATGGGATAATTTGATAGAATTTTATGACCTGTTAACATGGTTAATTATTTTCAATGACAGAGATTTTCTCTCAACATAGAGATTTTTATATTTGGCTAAAATAAATAAAAAATTTATCAAGCTAAAGTAGAAATGATCTCTTATAATTGAATTGATTCAAGTTTCATATTTACATATTTGTTATCTACAAATTCCATCATATATATATACAAATACATATAGTTAAAGAGAGACACATTCATTAGCATAGGCGTATCGAATGGAGGTAGCTAATCAGAGGTGGATCCATTTTTTCCGAAAGGAGGACAGGCCTGCTTCATTTTTCTAATCTGTAAGTGTGGGGGTCTTTATCTTGGAAATCTGTATGAAATCAGGATTTTGGGGTCAAATTTGGTTCTGCCCTCTCCAACTCACAGTTAAAAAATGTAGCGGTCATGTCCCAGTCCACCTCCCTTTTCGGAAAGTCATCACTATACATACTCAACTTTTTCACATTTTAACATTTAAAACAATATTGTTAATATTGACCAGGGCTTGCATGGATACTTTCTAATATGAATCAATTTAAAAGTAGAATGTAGTTCCAGATCACACAACTTGAGGAACAGGATATAAAAACAATGAAATCATATAATAAGTAGGGCTAGTAATGAGAGATGATTAGAGTTGATTCACAACCATGACAGCTGCAAAATACATTAAATTTAACAGTCAATGGGTCAGTCTGCTAAAGTACATAAAAACAATTAATCAGTAATATCAACACTCCTGAAAATAGCAAATTATTGTCAGCAATTAAAAACTGATGAGTGTGTATATTTTGCTGGTTGCGGGTTGCGGGCTGCAGGTTGCGATCTTATAAGTCAGTTGAACAATAAATAGGGAAGAAAAAAAAAATCACCAAAACACTGTATATACTTGTAAAAGGTTATATTTGTGAAACTTCGAAAAATTGTGTAAGAATGTGTATTATTATTAACAGACTTTTAATGATTTATTGCTGGTCATTTATTATACCAATATATCAGAAAATATCAAAACCAAAAATATCACTTATTATAGAATTGATAAAAAGTAATAATTGTTAACCAGCTAGGCTAGTGCTTTAGAAAAATCACACAAAGCAATGACACTATTTAAAGTGTACGAAAAGTAACTTTTCAGGAAGAAATTACATATTTTCTTAAAATTTTCATGAATTAAGTGTGATAATGAAAGTAATGATCATATTTGAACAGAATTTTTTAAATAATTCAAGTAATTAAAAAGTGTCCAAAGATTGCTAAGATTTTATCTTACTATGATTCTAGATCATCTCATATTTGTCATACATTTGGCATACAGACCTTAAACTATTTATGTGCAATAACACATTGCTTTGTGTTGTTATATATTGTTATATTAAGGATATATTATCACTTTTCTTCCTATTTGTTTGCGTTTCTTCTTTTTCTCCTTTTCTTTAGATAAAACATGATTCTAATTGAAACCTATAGATAATTAGCCAGATTTACCAAATTTTTAAGGTCAGAAATGTATTGTGTGAATCGAACCATCTAATTTTAGGATGGATTTATTGGTTTTAGTGACAGATTCTTTAGACAAAATTTTATATAACATGTTGGATTGTTTCAATTGAAGGATTTATGTCCTTCTGTCCAAACTCATTAAATACAAGTAAAGGAGATGTAATAGTTATGTGCAATTCAGCATCCCTTTGCATATATATAAACTAGAGGCTCTAAAGAGCCTGTGTCGCTCACCTGGGTCTATGTGCATATTAAACAAAGGACACAGGTGGATTCATGACAAAATTGTGTTTTGGTGATGGTGATGTGTTTGTAGATCTTACTTTACTGAACATTCTTGATGCTTACAATTATCTCTATCTATAATGAACTTGGCCCTGTAGTTTCAGTGGAAATTATTTTGTAAAAATTTACAAAATTTATGAAAATTGTTAAAAATTTATTATAAAGGGCAATAACTCCTTAAGGGGTCAATTGACCATTTTGGTCATGTGACTTATTTGTAGGTCTTACTTTGCTGTACATTATTGCTCTTTACAGTTTATCTCTATCTATAATAATATTCAAGATAATAACCAAAAGCTTTGAAACTTTATTCATCGAAAAAGCGACAGGCGTATCATGCGCTCATGCCACAGCTCTTCATTAACTTTTAACCCGTAAAAGAAAATTAGTATTTAGATTTTTATGTAACTTTGTAATTTAATGAAATAGAGCAGCCCGCAACACGCAACCTGCAGCCTGCAGCCCGCAACCCGCATCCCGCAGCCCGCAAAATAGTGATACTGAAAACTGATTAGAGATCAAATATAGTTTACAAACTTAAGCTCAATGACAATATTTTAAACCTTAAATAATATGAAAGACAGATATTGATAGAAGTGCAGACTCCATGATGTAAGTCAAAGACATTTTAAAGGGTGAATTTATACAATGACTGATGAGAAATTTTACCAAAAATATTTGTAATAATATCCAAATTAAAATTCTTCCAATTTTACAAAAAGTTTTTGTATATATCCTAATTAAAAATTCTTCCAATTTTACAAAAATTGTAAAAGAAATAATCAAAGATCAATGTAACACGCAACACACAACATGCAACATGCAACACACAACATGCATACTAGTCAATTTCGCCCGGGCCCACTAGCCCGACCCCCCTTAATCCTCCTCAAAATAAAACTTTAAGCAGACCATACACAAAACAGAAAAAATAAACCAGTTATTGGCATTAAGTATGAAATTATTACTTACAATATTTTTTTCAAAATTCTCTCCCTGTATGTCATTGTGAACATATAATACTGTGTATTAATTCTAATCCTTCTTATGATTTCACTTTTATTTACACTAATAGACCTACTACCATTATACTTAATTATGTCCATTGAATCAATGTGGTGAGTATATATATGTATAACATTTACTTGTGTTTTTATGTTTTTTAAGCATAATACACACAACATGTACAAGTAAATGTGACCTGTTTTTATCCAAAGATCTAGGAAGACATAAAATGAATTTCTCTTTTATCTCATTGGTTACTATATGGATTCATATTGATGTCATGACCTCATTACTTGGACATCATAAAATGTGTAGAGGAATATAAAATGTTGAAATTCATCAAGAATACACTACTCTTATTACTATCTTTATTACTATTGTTTTTGTGGTGATTTTGTGAAGAACCATGCAGTGGAGGAAAACAGTTCAAAGAAGAAAATGGCAAGTTAATTCACATTGAAGTTTAGATACAGTAATATAAATTATATAAAAAGATAATTACAATGATTCTCTATCAAATATTTCTTTAAAAGTTCAACAACAGTGTGTTTGAAATTTACACATCATTCCCTAATTAATGCATAATGACTATATACAAATGTAATTCTGTCTTGAAATAACTGGTTCAGGATAGTTTGAAGGGAATATTTTGTCACATATTATACATGTGTATACCTTCACTAGATGATTTAAATTATCTTGTGTATGTTTTTTTAATAGTTCTTTACTAAATTTTTGTTTGTATCTTATATTGCTGATCAATGAAGTCTGTTTAGTTTCTCTCTATCTTCATGATCTTATTTAGCTCTTGCTCCAAACACAAAAGAGTATTTTTTCTGATCATTTTTGCATTTTAAAGTTTCTCTCTATCTATTATAGTTTTCAAGATAAAAGGCAAAATTGAAAAAAAAAGTGGGAAAATTTGATTCTATTTCATGTATTTGGCCCAGTAGTTTCAGATTACAAAAATTTATGAAAAATTCTTAAAATAGACTATAACTCCTTAAGGGGTCAATTGACCATTTTGGTCATCTTGACCTAATTGTAGATCTTACTTTGCTGAACCTTATTGCTGTTTATAATGTATCGATCTCTATCCATAATAATATTCAAGATAATAACCAAAAACTGCAAAATTTTCTTAAATTATTAATTCAGGAGCAGCAACCCAACAATTGGTTGTCTGATTTGTCTGTGAAAACTATTTTCCCCAATGATGTTTGTGGCCAAGTTTGGTTAACTTTGGCCCAGTAGTTTCAGAGGAGAAGATTTTTGTAAAAGTTAACTGACGACAATGGACGATTACGACGGACCTCAAGTGACATGAAAAGCTCAGTTGGTCCTTTGGTCCAGGTGAGCTAATAAAAAAACTAACAAAAGTTTGTAACATTAGAGTTCTCACGTCAAAATGTGCTTCAATGGTGACTTTCGATTTAATTGATTTTTACACAACTTTTGGTATGCATCCCTAAACTACAAAGTGACAAGGATGGTGAATATACAGCTTTGATTATATCCAAGGTTAGACTAACTTGGCTAGAATAGTGGCATAATTACAGTTAGTTTACATTTTAAAATCCAGCAGTTCTTGTTATGTTATTATGTACCAAATGTATTTTAACTTTGAATAAATGCCTTTTTATTTACTTGCATTTAAAGCCTGGACATATTTTTCAGGATTTAAGAATACATTTTTTATAATGACTGTTAACATCATTTCTAGATGATAGACTTAGTCTACCTGGGCATTACCTTATTGACAAGGATTTAAGCTTAATGCCTAATTTCACTTATTGCCACTTACATATGAATAATATAAATACTTACATATATATCATAAAGGTTTCTACTTCATACTAATAATTGGCATTGGCCTTTTAAACTTTTTTTATTTCAGCACTTCTAGGCATTAACAAAAACATATTTAAACTGTTGAAAATAAAAAATGAAAATGAAAGAGGATGCTCATTTTGTATAAACTGTTGACTACATGTATAAAGCATTGTAAAGACTATAGACTTGTTTTGTTTGCTAGTTAAGTATTTCAAAAAGTTTGTCCTCCACTCAGTGTACCCTTGAGCCACTATACTGTGCTAAATCTCTAAAAATATCTTGTACCCAATTAACCTACTAGCATTTAATAGAACCATTAGATAAAATTTCATTTTCTGAAGAGGGTGTATAGAAATACATGTATGAATACTGATAATAATATATATGATCTTAGTATTATGCCATATTATCAAAATAGTTTCTCTATTACTTTCAATTCCCAGTAGACATGGTAGATGTCTTAATGTTACATTTTTTGTATGTCCTATGGATTGAGGGATATCAATTTTAAATAAATTAAAGAGTACAATGGACTAAGCAAGTTGATTGTTTGACCACATAAATAACAAAGGCAGAAAATAGTAGATTTAACTTTTTGACCATAGTAAATAATTGATTAAGAAATCTAAAGAATAAAAGAAAAAGAGGAATCAAAGGCACTTACTCATGTTATTTTAGTAAATCAGCTGATTATGTTCTTACCAGCTGCACAAATGGTCAATCAATTAAAAGCAATAAATTTCTTCAGTTTAAGTGACCACAAATAATTGCTCCCAATCAAGCATTAAATTTCTCTGACCCTAAAATGTTGTGGAACAGTATCATTATAAATCACAGCTTTATTCTGTTAAGCTCCTGTATATTTAGCATGTCAGTTAATACATGAGATTTAATTATGCTCACTGAAATTAAAGTTATTGGAATAAACATAATGTTGGAAGAAAATATTTTAGTATATTTAGGAACTTTTCTACAAAAACCGTCACAGATACTGGACAAAATCTATAAAAAAAATCCCTTGAAAAAACAATGAGAAAATATAATAAAAACGCGTCGAAAACTAGTGCAAAGAATGAATAAGGTAGCTTTGTTACTCTAATAATACCAGTTGTTTCCAGATTATTAGGGTTGATGATATGATGATATATTTCACTTTATTCATCTAATTGTAATTATAATAATTTGTATGTATATATTCAATAAAAATTTTGATAAATGTTTGTCTAAAATTAACCCCTATGGTACAAATACATATAGGGGCCAGTTAGTCCTAGACTGTATGAGTATACTCAAATGGTCTGACCGTACACATATGGTCCGACTGCACGAGTATATGTGTACGGTCCAAATACTCATATGGTCTGGAACATATATACAATATGAAGATTTGGATAAAGAGGTTTTATTACATTATATTCTTTGATGTATAGCCTGTACATGTAAGAATATTTAATCGCATTAACAAAATCCCTCTGCCCTGATTACATGTTTCCCCTAGGTCTGTTAACCCAGAGTTCATTCACCCACAGAGTCTGTTCGCCCTAGGTCCGTTCTCCCTAGTACTTTTATTAAAACATATTGTTTAATGGGTATTAAATTTTAATAAACTTATTCATATGGTATAAATTCTGGAAATTTATGAAAACACATGGAAATATTTAAAAGTTGTTGGCTTAAAATTTGTTTTAGAGCATTAATTGTTAAAAATGATAATTCTCACTGATTGTTGTAATGGATTTATAATAAAAACAACATTTTTTTTTGATAAACTAGCTATATAGTCAGCTTGGAATGAGTAACAAAAAATGATGTACCAATTTTAAAACTTGAAAAAGATATAAATTCATATTGTTATCAAATTGACTGATTAGAATTAATAAAATTGTTAACAAATATCAATAAGATAAGTCATGTAAGTACAATGTATTCCAGTATTCTACTACATGTACTATGCAAATAAAAAATAATTTATATTTGTTTGCAGCAAATACATTTTACAAATATAATGGGCGAATTTTTCAATAAACTTAAACATACTGACTGTTCGAACAATAAATATTATTGATTATGCAACTAGACTATAATATAAAAAAATCAGGATGAAATTCGAAAAAAAAAACAGGACAGGAGTTTTGAGTAATCAAAAGGTGGGATGAGACACTTTGCCGAAAAAAAGGCAGGATGACTATTTACATGTATGTAAAAAAAGTCAGGATAAACTAATGAACTAGTACACATTATTGTTTTTGGGCTAGCTGAAGCAAGCCTCCTGGTGCAGGATTTTCTCGCTATGTTGAAGACCCATTGGTGGCCTTCTGCTGGTTTCTGCTCTTTGGTAGGGTTGCTGTCTTTTTGACACATTCTCCCATTTCCATTCTCAATTTCAAAACAAAAAAGGCAGGACTGAATAGAGTGAAAAATACATAACAACTAATAGAATGAAGGACAAAATTTTTCATCCTAGCCCCCCATGAAAACCAAATGGTAGGTCCCTTAGTTATCTATACCTTTCACCTGACCCCCCCCCCCAAAAAAAAAAAAAAAAAAAGAAAAGAAACAAAGATTCAAAACAAAAAATCCAGTCCCCCTTTAAACGTAAATTGCTCTCACACTTGTTTTAACTAAATGTTTACCATATATATAAATTGAAATCATTTCAACAACAGGCTACTGTCGTACTGACAAGTTTTCATTCAGCATCTCTGCATCTTCAAGTTCAAGGTCACAACAAGTTTGTCTTACATGAACTGGTTCCCTGATTGCATTTGGATAACAGACGTTCTTCTATCGCACTGCAACTCAGGACTCTTGTAGAAGTTGAACTTTACCAGTTTGAAGGTGAGGATGTTTGTTCCATCCACAGAACTGTTACCCGTCACCTATTCTGTATTAAAATTCCACCTTTTTTAGACGAACCACTTCGGTTTGGAAATCCTCTGGTTACCTGACAAGTATGGGGAAAATCTGGATTCCGAATATTTTTTGGTATCTGCTTGACCACAATAATGTCAACTGGTCAATGCTTATTAGATAGAGCAATAATTTCTCTTACACAGTTTAATAATACCAATTTAAAATTCAGAAATAAAGTTATTCATTAAATCAAGACAACCAAATATAGACCTATTCAAGTACACCTTTGACTTTGGCTTTGGGTGTGTTTGACTTTGGATTGTATTTGATTTAAGGTTGTGTAGGACTCTTTGTAAACAATAAATGCTGGCATGGACATAATACTTGTAAGTGAGTTAAATTTTACAATGAAAATCTGTAATAGATCAAACTATAACAGATAAAAGTCTTTGTTTTTGTTTTGTTTTTACAAAAATCTAGGCTTTACTTGCATACAATCCCTATTTTCTATTCACTTACATCTGACACAGGTATTTGGGGATTTGGGGCCCACTGTAAAAAAGTCTTTATTATTCTCCATAATTACAATTTTCTAAAATGTATTGACATATAACAAGTCTCAAAAATCCATTACTAGTCATTTAAGTAACAATACCTTTTTTTACTATCAACCACCTTGTCCTTGACACTTTTTCACAGAAAATGTAAATATTTTAATTTGTCCGATGCTGTGAAAAAGTGTCCTTCAATTCATTATTTCATGATAAAGTACTATTAAATTCTGTCCTGCAAGGTTGATTTTCAATAAGAGGACCTTTTCACAGTAAAAGGTGTCCTTTAAAGGGAGATCATAAAAAAGTCACTCACGTATTTTGGCTATATTAAATGTTCTATTACTAAAACAAACCAGTCAAGAGCCTGTTATAATTTGATAAAAACACCAAATGGAAGGTGTTAAATTCCAAAGCATATTCAATTATCTTAGCTATAAAGATGTCAACAAAAAGTATCCACCAGCATCAACTGTCACAACCCCTATATAAAGTACAAGAATACCAAATGAAGAAAGAACAGTATTTATGAGAAAATTCTTGAAAATTACATGATTTTTAGCTCGCCTTGACAGAGTAAAAAAGCGAGACATTATAGGTTTGCCGACGGCAGCAGCGGCGTCAACAATGTATTAGTTTGAGATTAGGTCTAGTTTATGGTGAAACACAAGTGGAAGGTCAATGATATTTGGTATGCAGTTGTATAAGCATTGGCATATCTCATTTCCATAGAGATTATTTGGCCCTGCCCCCTGAGTCATGGTCTATTGACCTTGAAAATTTTGCTTAGTGTTATACATAAAATTGAGAATGGAAATGGGGAATGTGTCAAAGAGACAACAACCCGACCATAGAACAGACAACAGCAGAAAGTCACCAACAGGTCTTCAATGCAGCGAGAAATTCCCGCACCCGGAGGCGTCCTTCAGCTGGCCCCTAAACAAAAATATATACTAGTTCAGTGATAATGAACGCCATACTAAACTCCAAATTTGTACACAAGAAACTAAAATTAAAAATAATACAAGACTAACAAAGGCTAGAGGCTCCTGACTTGGGACAGGCGCAAAAATGCGGCGGGGTTAAACATGTTTATGAGATCTCAACCCTCCCCCTATACCTCTAGCCAATGTAGAAAAGTAAACGCATAACAATACGCACATTAAAATTCAGTTCAAGAGAAGTCCGAGTCTGATGTCAGAAGATGTAACCAAAGAAAATAAACAAAATGACAATATTACATAAATAACAACAGACTACTAGCAGTTAACTGACATGCCAGCTCCAGACTTCAATTAAACTGATTGAAAGATTACGTCTTCATCATATGAATATCAGGCACAATCCTTCCCGTTAGGGGTTTAGTATCATACCATCATAACATATATGAGAAGAACATAATCCGTGTCATGCCAACAACTGGTTTTTAAATAAATGTGTTTAGTGCCGATGCAAAGACCCTATAAGTGAATCAATATTAGTTTGTGATTAGGTCTGAGTCAGTTTATGGGGAACCACTAGTGGTACATTTGTAGGTCAATGATATTTGGTATGCAGTTGTATTAGCATAATGGCATATCTCATTTCCATGGAGATTATTTGGCCCCTTCCCCTCAGTCATGGTCTATTGACTTTGAAACATTTGCTTAGTTTATATGTATTAGTTTGTGATACTGATTAGATCAGTTTAAGATGAACTGCTAATGTTAAGTCAATGATATTTGGTATGCAAATTTATTGGCATAAATTTGCAAGTCTTGTTTCCATGGAGATTATAAAGCCCCACCCCCTCATCATGGTTCATTGACTTTAAAACTTTTACATAGTTTACCAAGTTAATGTTTGTGTTTAGGTTGTTTTTAAGGGAATGACTTAGGTAAGTCAATTATATTTGGTATGTATAAAAAGAAGCTTTTGTATAATTTAACATTAGCACATCTCATTTCCATGGAGATTGTTCAGCCATGTACCTTCAGTCATGGTTCATTGACTTTGAATATTTTACATAACTTACATGTTAAAGTATTGCTATTTTAATTTCAACAATATTGCTTTATCAAAATTACAAAAAGGCAAGACATATCTCTGTGATAACAGTTTATGTAAATTGAAATAAAATACATGTATTTTTATCAACATTGTTCATATTTTTAAGTACTATTTAATATATTTCTGTTTTTGTGTGTATTAGTACATGTTTTATTGTATAATTCATGTTTAACTACCAGTGGCGTAGCTAGGCCATTTTTAAGTGTACGCCCGAACCTCATCGAGAGGTTAGAGGTCCAGAACAGAAGACCTCCTGGTTGGGGGCGCTCCCCCCCCCCCCCCCCCCCCGGATGTTCACGCGTTATTGAGAAAGAGATACCAATATCTGTCATTAAAAACTCATCAATAGCAACATACTTGGTCGGTTAAGAAAAAAACTTTACGACAAAGGAGATGATTTCAGCCTCCAATTGTGAACTTTTCTTTTCTATGTAGCATCATTCCAGCAGCACCTGCATATGGAGTATATACATGCCAGTTGATAAGATATCCCATAGCTTGCATTTCCTATCATCATTTCCTTGATAGATAGTGGATGCTTACAAGGAAGCTACTGAACCAAGAGTTCCAAGTGATGAAGTTGAAATCATCCCACCGGAAATTTTACGTTCGACATAACGAGTAGGTTAATGACGACGGATATGTTCCTATTGTTGATATTACCACAATCCCGTCCTCTTTTCCTCTAATGTGATCTACCGAATTAGACTTATCACTGGGTTTGCACACGTGGAGTAGAATTTGCTTACCCTTCCGAAGCACCTGAGATCACCCCCAGGTTTTGGTGGGGTCCGTGTTGTTAAGTCTTATGTTTCTATGTTGTGTTTTGTATACTGTTGTTTGCCTTTTCATAGTTTTTCGTTTTTGCCATGGTATTGTCAGTTTGTTTTCAACTGATGAGTTTGAATATCCCTTTCGCGTCTATTTTAGAGTCTAATTTGTTTTTTTACAGTTAAATTTATTCATTGTATTGATTTGGAATATAATGGTAATGTATTTAAGAGAAAAAATGCTTAAAACAGTTGCTTAAAAATATGTTTAAAAGCAATCTAAAATTTATATCTATATTTACTCGCATGCTCGTATCTTATGAGTATAACGAAATTAGAGATATATATTTTAATTAGATTGGTTTAAAAGGAGGTGTGGGGTAAACAATATGTCGACAAAAAATCAAAACTTTATATAGAGATAGTCAAAAAGCAAGTCTCCATTTCAATGTTGTCGTTCTATTAAATTTTTTGACCTTATAGATCTAGTTTACTCACCTTTTTACACTCAAATTTTGTTAATGGACATATGTTCTAATTAATTTTCATGGATGGGCAGGTGTAACGTAAAAATAAATATTGAACTGTAACATAAAAATGCAAGCCACATCGTATCTGACCATATAATGAATTGCTTTAAACAATAGTAGACTGAGTAGAATTCACAGTAGATTGAGACTTTGATAGAAAAAGAAAAAAATATATAATATAAAATATGAAAACAACACATTATTAATTTAGTGAGCTGCCATTTGATTTTTATGGGGGGGGGGGGGGCTAGGATGAAAAATTGTGTGCTGCATTTTTTTAGCTGTAATCTCTGTCCTGCCTTTTTATTTTTCACTCTATTCGGTCCTGCCTTTTTTCTTTTAGTTTATCCTGACTTTTTTTTTACATAAATTGTCATCCTGCCTTTTTTTTTTTGCAAAGTGTCTCATCCTGCCTTTTTTTTTTACTCAAAACTCCTGTCCTGCCTATTTTTTTCAAATTTCATCCTAGCCCCGCCCACCCCCCCACCCCCACCCCCACCCCCCCACCCCCACCCCCACCCCCATAAAATCAAATGGTAGCTCCCTATAAGTACCTAATAAATCATATGATACCATTTGATTAAAAAGTATATTTCGTCACTTTGTCTTTTATCTCCAATTACAAGTCATTGAAGAAAAAAAATACAAAGCTCGTGTGCTTTTAATCAGTTCTTATAATTTATTTGGGTTCAAATATTTTTTTCTTCAAAATTTATGTGTACGCCCGGGAGTTTTGACGTAAACGTAGCTACGCGCATGACTACACATGGTGATGGTCACATTTAGTATGAATTCACTACTCAAGTTTACATGCCATGTTTTAATAGAGACAAAACCTATATTCTAATTTTTAAACTTTAATTTAGATAAAGAATTGAAGCTATGTAAACATAGTAGGTATTGATAGTGGGCACTTTTTCTCTTGACATACTGTCCTTTCTATGAAGGACACTTTTTTCATATGAAATATTGTCCCTTC